GCCGTGGAGCTGCCTGATAAGGCAGGGGAGGGTGGGATACCCCGAGAGATACACATAAACACACACACACACACACAAAGACACACACGCATACACAGACGCCGCTCAGCATCAGTTAGCCAGATCCTCAGCTGAGCCAATCAGTGGTTCGCAGGGCCTGAGGCTCCACCAGTCATCTTTCTTCAGGTGTTGTTCATTTCAGCGCTCAGCCTGCAGGTGGACGAACATCTGCACGTGTGCGCTGTGTGTGTGCTCAGCAATCACACTACCTCATAATTTGGTTGCATGGGAGAAAACCGATCAGACTGATGCCGGTTCAGAGCACAGACGTCTCCATAAATGTGGTGTCCCTTTAAAGTGTAGTGAGTGTTTCTACTACCTGTAAGATTTACTATAAATAACCCAAACAATTAAAAACAGACTTTCTTCTCCAATCAGCAAACCCTTTTATATATTTAAAGTAAGGTGACTTTAGTCTAATCCTGCTTAACGCTGCTTTTCTGCTTTTATGTACAAAGGGCCAATAACACACTTCCTCAAGGGTCTTGTGGTAATTAGGCAAATTTCTAAACTCAGCTAATTAAACCTTAACCTGTATATCAAAGGTCCTCAGGGATTTACAGATTAATCAGCGGTAAATCAGTAGATATAGAAATACTTTACTTTGACATGAAAAACATACGAAAAACTAAATTAAAATTCTTTTAAAACAGTACGTGATTTATTTCAATCAGTGTTTTTCTGTCTATCTCTGCAGTATTTGTTCATTTTCTCTGCTTAAACACGCAGGTGACACTCTCTGTCCCTTTTCCCCACTATAATCTCTTTACTCAAGCGTTTAGGCATGAAGTAATTTAATGCCTAAAACATTACAATCCTGCTTTTCACAGGGAGTGACCCTGTGAAAAGCAGGATTGTAATGTTTTGTGATGCCCAACAGGGAGTGTACCTGATCTAACTTAGGATGTTCCTCGGTGCAAAGCTGTCACTGCTCTCCTTTTGCTGTTCCAGAACATTTAAGAGCTGTGGAATAATCAAAGGTGGTGTTGTGGTGCTTTTATTTTACATTTGAAACATTTAAAGGGGTTGTACATTTTAATCGTCATTTGTGTTTTCGGTTTGGTCTGGGGGGGGTTGACCACCTTTTTAGAGATATTGATAATAAGTGCTTCAGACTACATTACTCATCAGTAAAATGTCTCTAAAACGCACTTTAATGCACTGATATTAATAATGTAGTAAGCCTAACAGTGTGAATAGGGGTCATTATTTTTCCAGCTGTTCCTTCAGAATTTCCCTTTTCTTTCTGATGACGCCACTTTCACTCGTGTGAAAGATTCAGATCCATTCCTGCTCATCAGATTGCTTTACTGTATATCTTTTACTTGATTTCATCGCTGTTGTTTGTCCGTTCTAACATCTTTCTGTTTGTTTTTAACGGCCTGCTCCTACATTCCTGCTAAAGCGATTGTTAGTTGGTCAGTATTTTCTGTCCTCTCGCGTTTCATCGTTGGTCTGCAGCCCCCTTTCTCTCCCTCTCTTTTTTTTATCATTTCATTCAGCGCAGGCAGCAACAGCAGTAACCTATAGCACGGCTCCCGTTCGCCTCCGTGGCAACTCTTGGAAGTTGGCGCAGGTCAAATGCGCCTTAATTCAAACCATAAGAAACGAAAGAACGGCCGAGCCGATTCCACTGGCCGTGCCAAGGTCAGCATTCCTCGACAGGCCGTTGCCTAGTGGAACTTTTGTCTCACAGTTTGTGTAAACCTCCTGGGAGAGACGGTATATAGGACCGGGAGAGGAGAGAGACCAAAGAAAGGGCTTCCCCCCCCCCCCCCCCCCCCCAGCAAATTAGCGCAAGCTGCCGGTTTGGACCGGTGCAGAATGATGAGGGGGGCATTCGGGTCAGATGTGGAGACACTATATGGCAATGTATAGATAAAGACAGGAATTTCTTACTTTTTAAATGAGAGGTGAGCTTTTTCCCACAAAGCACAGATGCGTGCAAAAATGCGCATCTACAGATTTTTGTGTTGTGGCCTCGCTTATATCCGAGCTTTGCTGCACTAAATAGTGCCATCTCAACTAACCATCGCTGGTGTGTTTGTAGCTACAAAAACAAAGCAATCGGGTGCACATTTTTGCCTTTAGCCTTTTTGTAAATAACCCAGAGTTTGGTTTACATTTCGAAAATGTTTTGTTCTCATTTTTTTATAAAGCTCCCAGCCGGCCCAGCATCCAACACCTCTGAAATGATGGATTAAATATATACACACACACACACACACACACACACACACACACACACATATATATATATATATATATATATATATATATATATATATATATATATATATATATATATATATATATATATATATATATAAATGTAGTTCAAGTATAAGTTCAAGTGAAGTTCATTGCTCGAAATCCAATATTTCAAGGTCAAGTAAGAAGTCAAGAGGAGCGTGAATGAATGAAACGAGTGTCACATCAGAGTGGCGTGACTTTATATCTTTTCTTTTTTGCTTCTTTGTTTGTTTGGAGTTTTGATTTTTGATCAGGTGACGCTTGAAGCCATTCTGTTCTATGTTTCAGACTCGTCCCTTTACAAACACGAGACTCGTGCCTTTTTTCTTTCTTTCTGTATTTTTCTCGGGTGCCAGTTTGTGCATTGGTATCATAAAAAGCTGCAGTTTGACTAAATTTTAAAGAAACGTTTTGTATAAAGTCGACAGAGCAAAGAAAAAATAAGTAAAAGACAAAGCAGCTTGGAACTGATTACACTGAAATGATTCCACTCCCACGGAGGCCTTAAGTTCATGTATTTGTCTCCCATGATGAAGACTTGATTTCTCTAGCAGGCCGCTCACTGGAAGGCCACACACACACACACACACACACACACACACACACACACACACACACACACACACACACACACACACACAGTTTAAAAGAAAAAAACTAAATAATTAATCATTCAAATTAAAAATGTAAATTGATAATAAATCAGGCGATTTGACATCATTTCATGCTTTGAATGTGTTACTTGCAATTTAAATGAACAGATTCATATTTTTACACATTATTGATGTTTTTGTGGATCTTTTTTAAATTACATATTTCAGATCATATTGTCCATAAAATAATTCTGGTCAAACATTGAATATATTTTTAGATGGTCTAATTATATGTATATCAGCTTTTTTTTAAAAACAAATGAAATAAAAGAAACTCGAGGCCTAAACTGGTTATTTGCTGTGTAAATGTTTCTTTTGTGTATTCAGGTTGTAATTTTTCCTTTAGAATTTTAAATAATGTCACTTCATTTTGTTTCTTTTGAAACAGATCACAGAACCGACAGTTATTTAATGCTGTTTCTCTAAAACTGAATCCCAGATTGTGGTGATTAGAGACACTGAGACAGTCCGTACATGTCTGATTTTGCATCAAGTGACAGTGAATTTGTGCACAATTAGGATTCAGAAATGACCCTAACTGTCATCCAGAAATGAAAACTTAAAGAAAAAGAAATAGAGAATGTGTGTGTGTGTGTGTGTGTGTGTGTGTGTGTGTGTGTGTGTGTGTGTGTGTGTGTGTGTGTGTGTGTGTGTGTGTGTGTGTCTTTAGTTTCAGTGTAGATTTAGGGAGACGTTATTTTATTTTAAAAAAGCAGCCTTATCATTTTTCATAACCCAGAGTTTTGGTTTTTCCCATAAAAAAATCACATTTTTTATGGGAAAAGAATGAATGCAGCTTTACATTTAGTGTGAACTCAGACACGAAGGGACTTCTCTGTCACTGAAATCTCCACGCAACGAACCACAGCCACTCTGAGCCCGGCAGCTTTTTCTTTAACTGTGTGTGAAGTGCTGAAGTTGAACCAACACGGTGTAAACTGGCATCAGGAGGAATCCTTTTTGTCTCTGCTCATCATTTCGATGCGTGACGTCTGCAGTTGCGCACTTCCGTAAAATACTGCGTTTTACCCATAAAAGGTTAAAACTCGCTCTTGGTAATTTATTCATTAAAAAGACCTCTATTGTCGTGTTTTTAAAAAAAGATGTCTGCTGAAATTCCATCTGAATTTCCTGGGCTGATTTGGATATTTGTGGGGAATAAAAACTTGGGGGGAAGTGGTGAAGGCTCCAGCCAGAAGTCATGCACCTGCGCTCTCTCTGTAACCTCACTGTTTCAAACTTGTGCTCAAACTGTTCGCTGCATTCATGGCGAAATAAACACATCAGTAATTTGAACGGATCAAGACACAGAGGAGAGAGAGGAGGAGTTTATTCTCTTTTTTCTTCTGTTTTTTAAGGATTTGGTTTATAGCTTTGCACTATTGGGGCTTGCAGTCGGTCAGCCTGCGGTGCTGGCTGTGCGTAAAATCTGGCAAAAACTAAGGTGTTAAAATGTCTTAAATCCGGTTAAACATTTTAAATAGAGACTTTTTTGTAAACTTGCCTTTATTTTTATTTGAATTGTTTCGCCATTAAAATGGAAACATATGCGGGCAGCAGAGGGTTATAGCCCACTTCAGTTTATTATCACTTTATTTTTTTTATCCTCAGAGAAACTCTTCTATGGTTAGTCAAGTGTCAACAAATGGGAGTCTTTTACGTGGGGGCGTGGGGTAATTTCGATTAATGAAAATGTACTACATAAAAATATCAGCTATAGATGGAGATTTTTGTTTAGATTGTAGGTTTTTGTTCAGCAGCTGGAGCTCATATTTAAATTTTAAGTGACACGTGTTCACGTACATACCACCCATCCATTTAGGCTGACTATTAAATTTGCACTCAAAAAAAATGTCCTACCCTACCACCTCCGCCGTCTCCCCCACTGCTCCCTAGAACCTCCGCTCCCTCCCGCCCTCTCTATCGGCCCCGAGCTGCCCCTACACTGTTGCCGGTGAGAGCTACTAATCCCCTGCGTCCACGGTTTACTCTGAGCCCGTATTTAATTCCTCTAAACCCCCAGCTGCCGCCCTGGTTACTCACTGAACACGACAGACTGTGAACCGCTCTGGTTATTAATAATTCACCAGCCCTCCGCTCCGCTTCTTCGGCCGCGGCCGCAGGACACCGTTTCGTCCTCAGTGGTGCGTGCAGGCGGCCACGCTGTGCGCTCACTTCTCGCATTTTGTTTACTTAATTATAGCTGCTCGATGTCACACACTCACACACTCACACACAGTCGCACACACGGGGAGACAGACGCACGTTTCACCTCTTTGTTTTTGGGTTTCAGATCACAGACCGTCCGCTGAGGTCCCGCTCGCGGATGTTGCGACACTCGCGCTGCCACATGCTGAGTTTTGTTTCAGACGCGGTCCTCCCAGCAACTTTGTGCCGACACTGAGAAGGGGGTGGAGGACAGGTGGAGAAGAACCGAGAAGCGGACTGCACTTTTACGTGATCGGCGACGCCTGAGCATGCAAGGGGAGAGAGCGCGCGGCGTCCAGTCTGGAGGAGCAACAGCTGATTTGGTGAGCGCGTGAGCTGAGAGCGCAGGGCAGGCTACTTACTGTCGGTGCGCGGCCAGGCTTCTGCTCCGACACTCGGGCTCTGACGGTGCAGCGTCTCGGTGGCACGTAGCTCGGGGACTCGGTGCGGGGACGTGACGGCACCGGGACTGAGAGTGCAGCCAGGCGCGCGCAGCTTCGAGTTTCGTGGAACTATCACGAGTTGAAAGCCGCACATAAACACCTTGCATGAAGAAGTCGGGAGGCAGACCGCTTGGATTGTACGACTCTGCGTCCCGTTTGCCTGGACTGAGAAGAGCTGACTTCACTTTATCCCAAAAAGTGTTTACCGGGCAGCAGGCCGTGCATTAGGGCTCTTTTGCTTCCGGTATAAGGCCCAGCTGAGCAAGAAACCGAGCAGTTTTCTCTCTCCCACTCACTTTTTTTTTTTTTTTTTTTTGGAAGCCGAACTTTTCAGAGTGGAAAATGGGTCTTTGAGAGTGTTGGCACATATCCTCACACCACAATGGTACGTGCTATGTAAACCAATAATTTGCTCATTTATGCAGTCAGCTTTGACAATCATTGTACTTGTTCATCGTTTTAATGATTCTGTGCTTTATAGTTTAGTGAGCTATCTTATATTTCGTGTGCGTGTGTGTGTGTTTGTGTGTGTGTGTATTTGGTGTGGCTAATGTGTAACAGTCACAAAGTATGTGCCAAGTCCCTCCACCTACCTGAATCTGTTTGCTGTCACAGTTAGACTCATTAGGATCTTATGGTTGTTTTAAAAATGTGGGGAGATTTCCTTGCTAAGGAGCTGCATGTACATTTGAAAGGATGTTGCTGGAAGGAAAACCTAATCCACCTTATTTTAATAGTTACATACGTTGTTGCCAATTTTTTCTTTCCAACCTGCTGGCCAAATTAGTGTCCAGCCCTCTCAGTTCACCGCTCGATGCCTACTGCCTTCTGCCGTTTCATCCACACGGAGAACATGACTCCTCTCACAGACTGGGCTAGTCTATTTATAGTCGCATATATGATAGGACCTATGGCACAACATCCATAATAGAGGTGTCATACAGTATGTAAAGGTTTCACTGTTGCATGTGGGAAGGATCCTAGAGCACAAATCCCACCTAAAGGCAAGGTTTACCAGAGTCTGGAAAGTTGGCTGTAGCAGGATGGAACTTATTGTTTGCGCCAGCGTTCTATTAAGTGGCCATTTGATTTGTGCGTAATTACGCAGGGACTAAATCCTTAATTACGCAGGTGGTTTATTTGTCCCATTCAGGGAAATCCAGTGGTATCACAAAGCAAACGTTTGTAATGCTTCTCGAACTCTAACTGAAGTTTGTTTGAGGATTCTTTAAGCAGACATCAGCTTATGAGATTTTATCCAAGGTTTCCTTTTTCGTTTGAGTTGAGTCCTTTCAAACAGAAGACGTTTTTCATGTTTTATCCCGATTTTCTTTTAACATGTTAAATGAGAAATCTACTCTCTGTGAGGCTTGCGAAAGCATTCATTTGAATGAAGTGCTTTTAGGTTTTAAAATTAGTAATAAGAAAGTCTGTTTTATGCAAAACTATGAAAGAGAGCTCACACATCCTTGACCCTTAGAAATTCTTTTTTGGCATGAAATGTTTCAAGTCAGGCAATAGTTAGGGGAACCTCCCACATACAACCTTGAAGCTGCTTAGATACCCAGGAATGGATCTTATTTGCACATGAATATGGAAGATTATTAGTATGAATAATTATTTGTTTACGAGCATCCTTGCTGACATGGCAGCTGCCCAAGAAGCTCATCAGTAAAAATGATACAGAATTCAGGACAGGCCTCACATGGGATTATCCCCACTTGTTATTCTCCTGCTTATAGCAGCAACTCACCTCTTTTAAAAAAAACCTTATTTATTTATTTTCAAAGGCTATATGTGTGTTGTGTTGATTTTGTGCCAAACACTTCAACTGCATGTTAGTTTAGTCAGACGGCACTGGAGGCATCTGTCAATCAGTGTCAGACTCCTGTTAGCTTTCCCCGAGGCCAGTTCGCCATCTCTGCCACAGAAATAAATATTCAAACACTACTTTTCTTTACAGATGATCTATATATACACGAGGATTTATAGGTTATGGATTTTTCCCTATGTGCCAGAAAGTAAACAGAAAGTTTGAGCCATCATCAGGAAATACAAAGATGACATTATGGGTCCAAAATGATGATTTACAGACAGACCGGACCTTTACAATAAGCAATGCAAGCGGTGTTTTAAATATATAGCCAAATGCAAAGTTTACACTGGATTCTCCGTGGTAAACATATGTGTGATATATAGTGCAGGAACTAAAGATTAAAAAAAATAGAATCACAGAGTGCTGTGTAAATAGCTGTGGTAACTGTATCCTGCACTCTGCCTCTGTGTGTGTGTGTGTGTGTGTGTGTGTGTGTGTGTGTGTGTGTGTGTGTGTGTGTGTGTACAGCCCACCACATGATGATCAGACAAGCGGTTTTCCAGTCTTGTGTGATCTCCATCTTGGCCGTTGTTGCCAGTGATGTCATCCCTCACTGTATACAGAATATTATGCTATTATGTTTGTCCTGGCCTTGACGTTTCTCTGGAAAAATAAATAAGGCTTCAAGGAGGCTATAATAGCTTATGCAGCGTGTAAGCTTTTGCTGTAGTTTAAAGATGGAAACTCTGATATACAGTCAAACAGCATAAATATTAGGATAGTGAGCTCAGATGTGCTTGTCAGGTTGACTGGTTTTTAAGCTGTTGTGATTTTAACAGTGTGCAGCCGAGGGGCTACAGTGGATATATCACGAGCTGTAATCACCTCAGTCATTCAGCTTCCTTAATATGAGATCCTTGTTGTGCTAAACGAATCACAAGTTCATGAAAGAGTGTCTCAAAAGATAAAACGTACAGTAATACTCCAGTGGTTTACTGGTTACAGTTGGGGTAGTCTGAGCTAAGCTTAGCTAAGCTAATAATTCAAACTGAGAAAAGCTGAATCCCAGATCTCAGTGCAGCTCAGTAACATCTTTCATTAAATTCAATTCAACTTCATTACATTTTCATTAAGTTAAGCTCACTCAGCTCAGACTCCATTCCTATACTGGTAATATATTTTTTGTGTGTGTGCGTTTAATAGACTGAAATGTCAAGAAAACTCTAGTGACATCATTATGACATCAACAGGGCAGTTTTTTTTTTTGGGCCTCAAAACATTTTTAGCATTTTTAATAGACCCACGAAACACATGACAAATGGTTTTACAGGCTGGACAGTGCTCTGTATAGTAAATACAATGAATGGATTCTAAATGGAGTATTTTCATATTTATCCATTTCAGTATTACTACTCTAAAATCCTTATATCACTGCTGAGTGCAATACACAGATCTGAATCTTTAAAAACAACATTTCTTATGCTGAACAGGGTCACAGTCTGCATGCCTGTTGGTTGCGTTTTCAGAATATTGCTGTATTCAACATCTTAACAACCAGCCTGAAGCTGGACAGAAGCGATTAACTCATTAACTCAGTCGTGGTGTACTATTGCTAGTTAAACCTTAACATTGTTCTTGGAGAGAAAAAAGCGAACCACTGCACTCACAGACGTGTGTGCCCCACTTTTTTCTTTACTATTTTCTCTTACCCACCAACCGGTTGCAGCAGATGCTTACATAAGACTGGTTCTGCTGGAGGCCTCTTCCTTTTAAAAGGGAGTTCTTCCTTCTCATCATCACCAACTGCTTCCTCATAGCAGACTGTCTGATTGTTGGGGATTTTCCTTTCATTCTGCTTCTTCTTTAACTTACAAAACACCTTTGTTAAGAATTGGAAACCATATCGAACATCTGCAACGCTCAAAGTCTGAGTGCAGCACAACTGAAACTACCAGCACACACGGCACCGCCAAATTAAAATGTTGCGATTGCTTCATCAAGTTACTACAGTTATAAATGTCTTTATATTGACCGTGTTCTGGCGGCTACGCTGTGCTCTGCAAGTTTGCTCAAACAAGCAGACGCGAGCAAGAGAATGAAGGTCAAATCCAAGAAAAACGGGGTGTAAACATTAAGATTGTAAGATTTCATCAAAGGCCCGAGAGGTCACGGGATTCAGCTGTATTTAGAAAGAATGCCACATTACTGTGTTTTACAGGATGTTTTGACAGTTGTTTGCTACAGTTAATACAAAAAAGCATCTCTTCTTATAGAACAAAATCAAAATCTAAACATATATTTTAATTCAAACGTTCCCAGGGAATGCATAACGCCTAGTACAGGAAGCCAGATTCAAAACCATGCAGTTTTAACTTCTTTAAGTGAGCTCTAAAAATATACAAAGTCAAAACACTGGAGTGAGATAATCTCACTTGTTAGTTTAAGCAAATAATAATCTAGAAATAACGCAGACCCTTCAGTATGAGCATAATTTGACTTAAGCCCCCAGATCAGATCAGTTTGCTTTGGAAATGGCAGAACAAATCACACAGATTTTATTTTAACTTGATTCAAGGCAAAGTTTTTTTGCAGTTTAAAGGAAGTCTTATTTTGTACCACGAGCCTGAACACTTCAAACTCCTCCATCTCTATTCTAGCCCTCCTTTAATTATCTTATCAAGACTGAAGCCTCACATTAATTGGTTTCACAAGACACACCAGAATGCACACCAGCTGTGTAACCAAGTAATTTGAATGAACTTAATTTGGGAAGGTGCTGGTATCTTATGCCTTCTGAGTTTAATTTGGGGGGGAGAAAAGGGGGGAAAATCACAACAATACATGTATTTTCTCTCTTCACTCTCCTCTTTAGGGCCTTAATGAGGAATTAGAGCCAATAGCATTATTCATTAAACAGGGCTTTCCAGCTATTTATCACTCTAACAATATTAGCATATTTGTTTAAAATTTCAACACTTTTTTTTAGCATTCGTAACCAGGTTTAGCATTTTTAATAATCTGGCATCGAATGTATCATACCAAATTGAATGCTGCAGAAGAACCGGCGGCAAGACCCAGAAACATACTAAAAATCCTTTACGAACACACACACACACACGCACGCATGCAAGCACGCACACTCCTCTAATTACCACCACCCCCCTCCTTGTCTCTTATTCCCCACCTCCTGAGATGCAGGTGTAAAATATCACATTTTTCCAGCATTTCTCCCTGAGGTGGCACTGGCTTGGACTCACACAACGTAAATTTCCCCTTTCATATTCCCCCACACATTTTTTTTTACAAACAAGTTCCCCCTCCCATCCCTCCCTCTCTTTGATGTGCTTGCCACATCTGCACAGGTTTGTTAGCTTGTTACCAGGTGAAGAATGAGGATACAATTAAGGCTGAATGGAGCAGGACTGAGTAGGATGTCAGTTATGTTTTGCCGCAGAAGTCTCTGATCCTCTAGGAACTGTTGAGCTCATACAGACAAGTCTGCAAATGATTAGGACGGTGCGGCGGAATGATCAGAAGGCTGTTAATCAGTGACTGCGAAGATACCCACCACTGGTGGATCGACGCGTATTCAGAAATATGGAAACCCAGGTGGTTTCTGGGCTGTTGTGTATCTTTGTGTGAACAAGACAAAGTGGGAGACAGAGGAAGGTGGGCCATATGTATATGCGCTCTGATTAATCTAATTCCATGTGAGGCAGCCAACTTAGGCATCTGTCCCCCTTTTAGATCTCGCTTATTGTAAACGTGGATGTCAGAGAGAATTGAGCAGAGTAAGTGCAGCTGAGGTATTGTAGAGATCATGATTCGTATTCATGCTCAGTTGTGTCTGAGATTGGTCTCAGATGCGACTAAACGAAGGTAGCGCTGGTGCTAGGTGACTGCCCAGCCTGTTATAGTTGTTGCTTTTGCTTTTTTTCTATCATTTTCCACAAAAAGCGAAGTGAGTTGTGTAAAATCAACTAAAAGGTTAAAACAGCGAGTGGCTAACTTGTAAACATATTAGAGCAATTAGCAGCTCAAAGTGCCTATTCATAATCAAGGGCATGACCGCTTCAACTGACAGCCGGTTGCGGTTTCACCTTGAATTCAGCAACAGCAGGATGTTGCTCATATGGCTCATTTAGCAATCTACAACAACAATAATACACTAAAATAAATGTTTTCACTACAATATGAAAATATTTGAAAATTAGAGTACGCCTTTTCACTTTCTTCATGAGATTCACTTTAACCTAGCTTAGCAGGTGCTAAGCTAACCTGTTTGAACTTTTTCTTTGTGAACAAAGAAAAGTACAGCGACATAGTCTCACAAATAATGTTGTGCTAGCGAGGACACAAAAAACATTTGGTAAGACAGCTTAATAGAAGGGTTGGACAGAGCTAAGCTAGTTATTTATCCCAATTTCTAGTTTTTATTTTAAGCTAGCTCCAGATTCATGCCTAACATTTTTATGCTAATTCAGGTAACACTGCTAGTGTAAGCATGTTGGGGGGGAAATAAAACCTAGCTGTTATGAAGTATACGTTTACTTTTATAAAATCTGCAATAGTTTGAAGCGATAAGTGACAAATTACTACCTTCGAGGTTGATACTATGAGCTTATTATTGTCTTAGTCTTATTCTGGCAATTAGGCTTTTACAGGACAGAGAAATAAGACAACTTGAGGGATTTTATAAAACGACTTGATAAAACAGTTGTGAAGTAAAAATAAATAAAATATAGCAATCCTTGTTCTCTCTGAACAGAGCTAACCTAGCTGGGGGTAGGGGGGTGTTCTGTTTCTCTGGTTTGTGTTACCTTTAGCTAAAAATCTTCAGACCTCTTTATGTTTAATGCAATTGTTTTGCTGTCGCCGTCTGTAGTTTAAATTTACATGCCAAAACTTTTTGGCAGAGAAAAAAATTGTGATCGTTGATATTCTATTTTCGCATTCAGTCATTCATTTGGAGATTTTCTGTCCACTTGATGAGTCTGTTATTTGTTCTCTGTTTAGGGTTACGTAGAGGGAATTCCTTGTACTGCTGTTTTCTGTGGGCAGAATTGATGATCAAATTGTGAATTGTAAACATGTAAAACAGCAAATGATTTAGTACATAATAGTTATTACTTCCATAATTGTAAATTTAGCAAAATTACTTGATATAAACATAATGTAACATATTCAACCACTGAACAGAATACTTACAATTTTATGAAGTTTCCTGCAAATTTCCTCTGTAAATAGCTAAAATTCACAAACTGGGGGATTTCCCAAGCTCTTGAACTACCCCATACATGCATGTAAATAATATGGAGATTTGAACTGTGGATTTAAGCCTGACCCAGGCTGATGCTTCTCTGTTTTAATCATCTGTGCTTCATTTCAGTCACCAAAAACCAGCATCGCAGACAGCAAATGAGTAGTGGAGCTTTTTAAGTGTTTATTACACGAGACTCTGCAACTATTTTAGCTTGGGGCCAGCATATGGATCAGGCATATGTTGCATACATATAGAAAAACACATATATGTATAATTGATACTATGCTGCTTAAAAACTGACAGAGGAGGAAAGCGGGCCAGTGCTTCAGGGAGCTGCACTCAACATTGAGCCTCAGTGCAGCTCTCTAAGGGCTGGAGACAGAGAAAGCTTCATTCATTAAACGATGTGTTTTTAGATTGTCGTTTATCCGGTGTTCAGCGTCCTCGAGCCGGGATTCCCTCTGTGCAGTGAAAATTATTTTTCATCCTTAAATGACTAAAACATGTCAGAAACAAGAGGCCGCTCGAGCCAGTGGAGTGCCATGTTTTGTGCTGCTCTGTAATTATCAGTGGAGTAAAATATATCCTTCAGCTGGACTGGGCAGTTTAAAAGCTTAACAGAAATCCCGGGGAGCTTGACAAGGGCACCATTTAGTGGGACAAATGGTTTCAAATGGTTTCCCTCCAGTGTTTCCCCACATATTAATGATGACAGGCCAGAGGTTGGATGCTGAGGCCGCGCGCCGCGCGCAGTGTTTTCTTAGCCATTTGGATGACTCGAATTCTAACTTTTGTTTAAGCGAGCGTGTGCTTCACGAGGCACACGCTGAACTTATTGTGCGTGGGAGAGGCCACGCTAACAAAGCCAGTGTTAGTGTTATGTTAATCAACCTGCCTGCTGAACCTTTTGCCACAGACGTTGAGTGAAATCATACACACAGATGCCCTTCCTGTGTTACAGTAGAAAGGAAAAGGGAAAAGACTCGAGCTGTAACCTCTCATTCTGAAGGATATGAATAGCCTGTGTCTCCAGCCGCAGCTCAGTTAGTCCAAGTCTGGGACTTATTATAGTGCTGCGTGTTTATGCATGTGTCTCTGCATGTATTTGTTTAAGGGCAATCCCATGTCACCCGGCGCATGTGTGTATTTGTCTGCATATGCAAATGCTTAAGTAACCTAATATCTGTTTAAATTCCCTAAAAAACTGTTTATATCACATGCCAGTTTAAATACTATAACTTTACGTTTTCTTGCTGGCTACGAGCGATGTTTGTTCCTGTTTTGGGTGCATGTTTGTTTCTGCTGTAGGTATGTTGAGAGATAAGAAGGTAAAGTTCTGGAAAATAAGATTACTTCCCCTCTTCTCCTATATCCAGAAACTCAAGTAAGTCCCATTGTGAGTAAAACTTCCACTCTCTTACTCATGGAACCGGAGCTATTTTCATGAACGCAGACGTTTTTAGCCCTTGTCTAATAGGTTTAGTCGATTTCCAGAAGAGACATTAAAATTTAGCCTGGCAAAAAGCAATTTGTACCAGTTAGGACTAAAAAGTAATAGCCACAGGCTAGCAAACCAGGCAGAACTCCCATTCCCATATCCAGCTCCTCAGTCTGTGGTTTCCTCCCATCTATGTTGTCTGGCCTGGCTGCCTCAATTGACAGCAGAACTGCAATGGATGCTCATTCAGAGCCCAAGTCTCGGCTGACGCGTCCCTCAGCATACAAATGAACTGCACTGAATAGAAACAAACACTTGGGATAAACACTTTAGCTGCATCTATCAGCGGATGCAGGGCAGGGCCTTTTGAGTGGCCTGTTTTTGTCTCCGTGGAGGCAGACGTATGGCCTCTGTATGTGCGAGTCTTTGCCAAACATGTGTATTACTGTATGCGGCTGTGTGTGTGAGTGTGTGTTTGTGTGTGAATGATTTGTGCTGAATCAGAGCAGGCTGACAGAAAAGTGACCATGCAGGTGAAATAGCAGGGACAGGAAATGCCATTGTGCCGGAGTATTGTGTGCGGGTACGGCAGCTAAACACTTTGCTCCCCATTGAAGTGGCAGTGACTGGCAGGGCTGGGCCTCGGGCCTGCACAGCATATGGGCGCAGGCAGGCAGTGCACACGATCGTGCGCGTGTGTGCAGAGTGTAAAGACGCCGATCTTGAGTAGTTATCTGGTGGTGGGACTTGAGGAGGATGATGAAATAGGTCGAGCAGCAGGATGAGGAGGATTTTCACATACAAAATCTGCTTTTGCAGCTTTGCGACCAGCTTTTCTGTGTGTTTTAAATTCCCTGATCCTAAATACAGAACCAACTAATGAATCACTGTGTTACATTTCAGGCAACCGAAACCTTTCTGTTGAACGAAGAACCCTCCAGAGGTCCTGGGATGCCTGAATGCTTTGTAGTATCAGATTCATACAGGGTATGCATCTATTATTATTATTATTATTATTATTATTGTTATTATTATTTCATGTGTCGGTATTAAATGTGTTATTGGAGTCATTACTCATTATTCTGACTGACAGTCCGTTTTCATGCTATTGGTAATTGCACCGCAATCATAATGTCATTCACAGCTCCCTCCACTCAGCTGCAAACCATTACAATTATTATTTCCACACGCACATTTAAGAAAAAAAGGGGGGGAAAGAAAAAGAAGCCTTTGCAACTTCACCGAAGCGCCCTCGTCTCACGGGAGTGCAAATTACGACGATAATGTGAAGCATGCCTAGATGTATAAAACGAAAAAGAACTACAAAGTAAGAGAAAAGTGAGCAGCATTTCTAAAAAAAGAAGCCGTGAGATTTACAGCAATCGGCATGATATAAAATGGTAATAAAAGCAGAGGAGTCGGGATGGCGTGGGGCGGGGGGTCCTGTGTATGACTGAAAATGTGATCATTAATGAGGTGGGAGCCAGTTTTCTAGGCTACAGGCTTTGTTTCCCAGAGTTAAGTCTTATGCCAAGTCTCTCAGAGAATCTGGGTTGCTACACTATATTGTATGTCTCCGGGTAAAGAAATGAAGTGCTATGGCCAGGAGTGGGTAGCACGGCCGTCTAAAGAGAGTTTTGGGAGACAGGGGTTGAGGGGGAGGGGTGTCACTGTGACTGGATTGGATTCCGGGGGGCAGCGAGTTCAAGAGCGTCCACAGGAGAGCGTCCACAGGAGAGCGTCCACAGGAGAGCGTCCACAGGAGAGCGTCGACCTCCAGCTTCTCGCCGGGAGGTCTAATGTAGGGGGCTCGGTGTTGTGCAAAGTGCGTCACGACTCCATTCATTGTCGTCCTGAGCATTTTGTACAATAATGTTATGCAAACTATAACAACCTGTACTGATAACGTTAGGATCGTCCTGGATGCTTATTTCTGATACATCAGTATCAGTGTACATTTCACTTCCCCCTTCAGCCCCGTTGATTGATATCTGTATATCTGCAAAGAAAAGAAAAGAAGTGGGGGAAAGAGGATATCTATGATCTGTCACATCACTCAAACATTTGCAATGGTGATTTCTTATTTGTCACAAAAATAACAGAAAAAGGAAAATAAACACAGAAAAAATGGAAATTTAAACACAATAACGTCCCAGAATTTTGCAGCCAGTGAATAATTAATATAGAACAGAATTTGCATTACACCATAAATGCAAAAGGTAACCTTGCTTACTTTTTATTTTTTTATTTTGGGGTATTTTAACTTTACTAGCTGACACTGAATTTTCCACATAATTGTTTTTCTTTTTAATCATTTGTAACCTGGCTTTTCTTGGTAACAGCTTTTCTAAGAAAAGGCTAGTGAGTCTATTAATGTTTAAGTTCAAACAATTCATTTCAGCAGTGCCGTGGTCACAGTTTTATCTGTTGTGTTTAGACCTCCAATGCTGAGGTTGAATAATGTGGTTTCCATACCTGGGTGGCCAAGGACAGTGTTAAGGGGGACCTATTTTGGTCATTTCCAGCTCTGTATTTTTTATTCTTCCACTCTACTAGACTATCCTTGCATGACTGAGCTTTTTGAGAGTCTAAATGATTCGTCTTTATCTTCCAGTCACTGTCTAAAACAAGCTGTTTTAGCAGCTCTTCGTTTGAAAAACACCCTCCTTTTATGCTAACTTCAATCTCATTGGCTACCCCTCCCAAACAAAGAACATCAAGTGGGTGGGGCTTCTCCTTGGCATAATACAGAGCCAAGAGTAGAAAAAAACATTTGCGTTGCTCTTTGGGCTCACACAGATTACTTCTACACAAGTTGACCTCGTGGTCAAGTTTAATATGAGCATCCACCTCTGTAACAATGCAGTGCAAATGACAGAAAATAAGCAAGACACAGTGGGTCATCTTCAAATTTTAGCTAGCAACAGTGATCATGTTAAGGGTTGTCACTCAGATGTATTACTGTATTTGCATGAGCCACTAGAATGTGACATAAAACACAGTTTTGTGGTTAATAATATGTGTAAACCTTGTAAACATTTATAGCAGCCTTTTAATAATCCACATTTTATGAGTGGTTTTCATGTGAATGGAGCTAAACTAAGATGTACTAACTGTATTAAGTGGGTCGTGTGCTCAATTCCTTGTTCACAGTTCAAACAAATAATTGCAACCACCTTAAATTTACTCACTGGAACTGGCTTACTCCATGCTTTTAAAGCAAGGGAAACTTGTAATATTTTGTCTTTTTATAATATGTTGCCAATATAACATGTCTGAATTTTTCTAAAATCGACCAGAAGTGATGTTTATCCAATGTGACTAACAGCCAATGAAAAGATTTTGAAATCCCCCCCAAATTTTGATATTTAGTTTAAACTATTTGCTTACATGTCTGTGCGTGAAACTAGACAAACAGAAAATAAAAGATTGCTAGAAAGTGTATTCATGCACTGCTCATGTTTTTGTTTTGTTTTTTTAATTAATTAAAGGAGGCATCTTTTGGAACTTAAGTTAGAGGGTGACTTTGGTGAGAGGGATGTGTTTACAGGCGATTCCACCTGGTTGGGAACAACTACTTCAAGCAAAGCCTCGCATGTGCAGTGTATGTAAACGACGCGCTGCTAGAGATGACATCTGCTCTGCCAGACATTGCAACCACACTTACTTATCTCCGCTCCGCTGTGTTGCCACCTATAGACAGTTGTGGTATCAACACCGGCTGTAATACTGTGCGCACGGGTCTCCGTCAAATTTGTGGTTACTTTCATCCTCATACAGCCTGTTTTGCACACCCACAGCCTAAAGCCTCCCCGCGATACACGGCCACAGCGGCTGCGAGATCGTTACTGCTCACTTCTGTGACACTTTCTTAATAAAATCCTCAGTTCTGGTGCGACTGCACAACAGCACCAAGCTGGTGGGTGAAGTCACTAACAGCGCTGGCCACTCTGGAACAGTGGTAAATATGTATATGCGAAGCGTGTGAAAAAGCAGAGCCGCGGCAGACCCACCAACCATAGCATATGGCTCTACCATGTGTTACTTAATGAGAGATTTACTCACACAGACCACTAAATGTGTGGCTCGTTTAAGGAGCGACGGCAGAGGAGTGTTTGCGTGCGGAGCATGCAAGTCGGCTCCATAAAGGACGGAGAGAGCAGAGGCTGTAACCTTTTGCACTCGGCTACCAAAGCGAGCTGAAAACAAAGAGATTTCCGCACATGTTGCAGGCAGGTTATGAAGTTAATACACCTGCCCAAAGGGAAACCAAAAGTTGTGTGTGAATGTGTTGTAGGGCGTGTGTGGTTCACATTAGTCATGTATCCTATTCACAGAAAAGGAATGCTGGCATTCTAACCTTGTGCGACGGCGAGGGCGAGAGGTTACAGTTTTGTGGCGTTACATGCGCTCCTGACCACACACTTTCTCCCTCCCCGCCTGCGCCTCTGGCTCGAGTATCTGGCCGCGTGCAGTAATTGGCCACACAGAGCCCAGATCTCTTTGTTTCGCCTGCAGAGGCTTGCAGTATTTAATAAAAAATGCACAAGCAGTAGGCCTCATAAATCTGTGGGACTCTAACGTCAGGCCTAAAATTTCAGCTCCACTTCTTCCACAATGACTTCACTCCCACCCAAATTCCCACTGTACCACACTCGGGACCTGCTCCAAGAAATGTTATTTTATGATTTTTATGTGATATGTGTACCCCTCACTACCGTTCATGTGTGTGTGTGTGTGTTTTTCCTCACACACCCCAGTGAAGTATTTTGATACCGCTCAAAGACTGTGATTATACGTCTGTCTTCGCTGTTTTCTACTTCATAGTGAACGCTACAGTAACTGTTTGGCTTGGACTCACTTCACTGGTTTTTCAAGCTACAGTTGTGGGTTTTTCAGACTGGGTCAACTCTGGTTCAGTAAATAAATAGACTTAACTTAACAGCAGCAATGAGATGACGCATCGATTTGAATGCCTGTAAATGAATTTAAGTGTGCAATCAAATGTAAACTTATGCATGAGAGAATTCCTGTGATCAGGACCTTCAGCAGAATTATGTTAAGAGGTTTTATGCAACTGAATGCATGCTTGGCCATCGCATATTTAAAAAGTCAGTGAAATCAGAGGTGCTCTCACAATATTCCTCAAATTATATACTTTCATCTACTCTGCTGATGCATTTACGTGTTTCCTTCTCAAGTCGGTGTAACTGACCGGCTCATCTGCCCTCTGGTAATTATTTGCTCTCAACATGGAATGCACGGGTCAGTAAACGCAGCTCGAAAGCACAGTATTGCGAACCTAAAGACGCGGGGAAGCGTGTGCACAGCGGATTCAGAGTCCCCAAAAGCAAAATTCATGCTGTGGCAAAATCCGAACATTTTACTAAGAAGAACTTCAATCTGCGTGAAAAATAGAAAGAGTGTGTGTGTGTGTGGGGGGGGGGGGGGGGGGGCTTTCAGTAGGATAGAAGAGGGGAGCGATAAAAGTCCTGCGAAGAGGAGAGCAGAGAGGAGAGGGGAGGGAGACAAAGTTTTTTCCCTGAAAGTTTGTGCAAGCTTTCACTTTCTAGGCGGGGTTACTGTAAGCTGCAGCAGCATGGAGTGAGAGAAACAGGACGGCGAGCGATTGCAATGCAGCACCATACCGAGCTTCCATCCAACTTAAATAAGCTCTCCAAGTCTCCTTCCTAAAAAATAACCATGTACTCCCCGTACTGCCTGACACAGGTAAACTGTCTTCTCTTATTTCATTGTTTGGGTAGCTTACAGTGGGGACGCCGGGGTTTTCTCTTATATATATATATATTTATATATACGTGCAGTCAGTGCGGTGCCACTCTGCCTTTCCTCGTGTGTTTCGTGGTTGTGTCGAGCGTCTTTCTTCCACTCAAACTTATCCTCAGCTCTCCCGGCGGCTCGTCTCGCGGCGCGCTCGGTCGCACGAAGCTTTTTCCCGTGCGTTTCCATCGCACATGGTTTTTTCTTCTTCTTCTTCTTCTTTTGGGAGAGAAAATGGCGCTTCTCCCGAAATGTATTTCTTTTTTTAAAACAAAAAAGAAGGAGGGGAGCCCGTGAGAGGAGGAGATAGCAGAGCGGTGGAATAGACAGGACGTGGAGCGGAGTTTAATTTGACTGCTGTTAAGATTTTTCTGAAGTGGCGAGAAACGCAGGGAGGGTTTTTTTTTTGGCCGGTGAGAGGGGTGTGAGCAGGGGCGCACACCGCCGCCTTTAGGGCTGTTTTCATGTGGGACTGAGACCGGGAGAAACGAGAGATTGGAGCCTGAAGTGTGTGTGTGTGTGTGTGTGTGTGTGTGTGTGTGTGTGTGTGTGTGTGTGTGTGTGTGTGTGTGTGTGTTTGAGAGGAATACAGAGAGAGAGTGTGTGTGCGCGCGTGTGTGTGCGCGCGCGCGTAATTATAATTGGTCAGTATACGTCCTGCGTGCGCCTTTAGAAATAGTCTTTCTTTCTTTCTTGCTCTGCTGCTATACCATCTCTTTTTCACTTGAACGCAACACGTGACAGGATCGATTTCAAACGCGTATTTGCACGTGCTTCTTTTTCTTTCTGACCTTGAACGTATAGACAGCTGTGTGTGGCGCTTCCTCGCGTTGCAGGGTGAAATAAAGTCCAGGTAGTGACTTCACTTTTTTAGCACTTTGCTTTTGTTTCGGGTCAGAAATATTGAGGGATGCCGTTTCCTGCATCTGCAAAATGCACACGTCATATTTAATTCGAGCAATTGTCAGTGTTCCTTTGCTGCTATTGTAGACCTGATGAAGCGATCAGTGTGAAGAGATATCTCAGAGCGATGATTAAGTAGCTATTTAAACTTTATTTAAATCTGTGTGTGTGTGTGTGTGTGTGTGTGCGTGTGTGTGTGTGTGTGTGCGTGTGCGTGAGAGAGAGAGAGAGCGCGCTCATCTCTTATATCCGTTCAGTGAAATGATATCAGCATACTACTTTTAGCAGATTGTATTTCATGCACTTTGCCTCCAGTTTATTTGTAATACATGTAACTTTTTTTTA